ACCAGTATTTTCGCCCCTTCCCAAAATTACTTCAACGGAAGGTTTCCAGATGGATATGCGGAGCAAATCCATCTGGCGGAGTCAGGTTAGATTTTCCCGTCACGCGAAGGAAAATGTCTTTTGACAGGTTGGGTGGAGACAAAGCTCTTCTGTAAGCCTCCTCCTGATTGGGCCTGTAGACACGATCACACAGGAAGTAGTGTCAGCAAACCTTTGTAGCCATGTTCAACACATATCACAGATAAAAGTTCATTAAAAAGAAGTTTGTTTTGGACATTGAAGGCCTGTAAGCATTCAGAAACATGGCTCAAACAGGACCCTGTACTCAGACAGCCAGATATTCAGAAGATTCCCAGAGTAACAAGTCATCCTCCTTTTAAACAGTCTGTTCTCATGTTTTAAATTGTAATTGGGAGGAGCTTTCTCAGATAAAAACAGCTTCTCATTATTTTCATAAGGCCATGTCTCTGTTAGAAACATAAAATTAAGTTTTTGCTGAGTTACTTAAATAGTTGAATAAAAATGATTCTCCTGCCAGAGATCTTATGTTATTTAAGCCACTTTAAATACCTTGGTTCTCGAGCTGCCTGCCTCCATATTGTATCATTTTCAAGTTGGATGTTTTTATTCTTTTAAACTGTTTATTGTTTGAGCTCTATCCTTTCTGACACGAATTAAAACTGAGATTTTTCCATCTTTTTGAGGCCTCAGCTTTTGATGGAGAGTCAGTTGTAATAATGTTAGCACTGGAACCCAACGATTGATTGTCCTTATTGCCAACACCAACATCTTCCTTTGCATGTGGAGGAGAAAGAGCCAACAGGAAGTAAGATTTAGGGATTTCAGGAAGTGTTTGGGTTAGATAAGGAGGTGAGGAGGATTGATACTTGGAGGTAAAGACATGGTTCTCTGAAGTCATTTAAATGTGGCCTTTTCCCTCTCATCTTTGTCAGCTTTGCTGCAAGCAAGGGGTCATTGATGATGTCACGGGCTCGGGACACGCAGCGCTGGGATGAAATGTCTTTAATGGAGGGAAGAGGAGCCCCCATCATCCTCTCTGCTGTTCTCACCTTCTTCCAGTCTCAGTCTGAGTAATGACTACTGGTTATGAAGACAGATAGTTCAATGATCATAGATTTTCATACAAAAGTATTTCATGTTTTTGTGCCTTTGCTGGAATTGTTCGGAACTATGATATCAGCTGGAGATAAAATCCAGGGGGGCAGTCAAACTATTTTTTCTCCCCATCCTTGATCGCCACTCCCCTCAGTTTACTCTGTTGGGCCATAAATAAGTAATTATATCTGGCTCAGACTAATGGCTTCCTAAAACAGTGAATATAAATGGATAGCTTTTACAGAAACACGAAAAGAGTCATAGGTGAAATTTATTTTAATGGGAATACACTTTTCTGCAGATATTTAGCCTTTTCAGAGCTGTCGTTCATTATCTAAATTAAAGTCCTTCAAGCACAATAAATGCATCATTTCCTTTCACTCCTCCCCCAACACATTCATGCAAAGCATTAAAACTCTCGCCATTCATCTCCTTCATATGCACCTACACAGATTTGACCACCCCCCCATACACACACACACACACAGCTGACAGTTTCCATGCATGGCTGATAAAAGTGTCATAAAGAACATCAATAATGCAGA